CAATGTATCATAAGTCCAGAATGGAATAAAAAGCAGTAAACCCAGATGCCCACTGCTCATTATGGCTCTGAAGAAAAGGAAAGAGAAAATGACACTTTAAAGAGAATATTGAGGTCATCAAGTGAGAATCAGTCGAAGATAAGCATACCTTCTCCACCACATAAAAAGACTACGAAAGACACTAGTAGCAGAATGTCTGAGAAATGCAAGGTAAAAAGCTTTTATAGCCTACTGACTAATTTAAAATCAATAAGGATGGGAGCAGCACAGCCAATGCAACCAATACCAGTGCCACTAAGTGCAGCTACTACTAATGGAGTGGCAGCAGAGTAACATGCATGCACAAGTAATACACAGGCTAAGTTAATGAGGCAGTCAAGCAGATATTAAAAATATTTTACAGCCAGGCATTAATTTCAAGGTAGCATTACTTAAGAATAGACAAATTAATCAGTCAATTTACGACTGATGAATTATTTAGTATAATGAATTTGAGAAACATGATTCTACCTAGTAATATACCTGAGATGAATTCTTCATATAATAATTCTCACACAGGAGTGCATGCTTGTCTGATGGCAGAAAGAAAGTAAATGTGAACTTTCAGTCAGCAGAAACAAATGGCTAAAACAAATATTAAGAGTAAGAAACAATGAAGTGAAGAGAAATAGTAAAGTTAAACAAGGAAAAATGAATATTAAGATACAAAATATCCAAAGAAAGACAAATGATTGTGACCCTGAGTCTGATTTTGAGTCAGAAATAGGGAAGGACCTGGATGAGAATGATATGGTTTACCAGTCACTTGAATACAGAAATGAAGAGGTTTCCTCAGGTATAAGTATAAAGATAGAAAATAGTTCAAGCATTTATGGTGGAGCAATGTAAATGTTTGATGAAAGGAGTATTGCAAACTGTAGGTTTGGGATACAGCCCACTGGACAATATACATGATAAGATTAAGGAAAATGAGAATAAAAGAATTGCAGCAGTGTTAAGAAAACAGGCTGCTAAGTCTATAGAAATAACATTACTAGATCTTGTTAGGGAAGCATTGCAATATATTGCGGATGCAAGCCATGGTGCTATGGCATTTGTGGCTAGAAGTATTATGGCTTCAACCATTGCATGTACATTTAATTGGCTACATTATTGGAATGTACATCAGAAATCACGAAATAATCTAGCATACATATGGCAGACAACAATATTGACATAAGGAAGCTTTTGGTGAGGAATGATTATTGCATTTCAGATGGATTTGGAAGGAGAGAACAACAACTCATTGAGTAATTTAAGTAGCTACCCAAAGATACAATGACAAAATTCTCACAAAACCCAATCAACAGATAACCTATCTCCACTGGTCCTGAAGAAAAAAGAAAAAACAGAAGACTGTACAGAAAGAGATCCTCTTTTGCAAATTGGGGCTTATAGAATGGGTATTCCAAGACCAATAATTCAAGGGTGTGCATTCCATTCACAGTACATAAAAGCAAAGGGTTGTACCATCCAATGTTGGGTTTAAAAGTCTGAAAGACTGTCCTGAAAAATCAGTGGTTCAAGATGGAGTAATTGTTGATAATCAGATAAAATTTGCAGCTCGACAACTGGATGTTTTAGATTGATCTCATGGAACCATTTTTACACATACCTATAGTTCCAGGCTGCAAGAAATGTCTTTGTTTCCAATGCAAGGATTCACAATTTCATTTTCAAAGCCTGCCATTTGGTCTATTCTTTGCTCCCAGGTGAAGAGCTCCAAACAGTTTCTCCCAATTTGAACAACTTGCCAAGTGCAGGATTGTTTGAAAAAAGAGAATGAGAGGGGGGAAAGTATAATGCCATGGAGTGCTACCTTGTCCTAGGCAATGCAACATCTTGTGACAGAAGCTGACTAGTGCAAGTTTTGGCAAACCATGACTGAGGAAAGGGATATGTTCTGGTTGCCAGAAGTTGGGAAGCATTCAGGGGTATCTGATCCTACCCCCCCACCACCACCACCACCACCGCCAGATAGATAGATAGATAGATAGATAGATAGATAGATAATGCAATTCGTATTGGGAAGTTTACAGTCTAACCCTAACTATAACCCTTCATCCTATAACCCATTGCAATTTTCATCTATTGCAGCTGAAACAATGCATGGGGGGGTTGTTTAATTGTGGTAAAGGAGGGTTGATATAAAAGTTGGAGAGAAAGGAATTACATTGAGGCATTTGGATGTGATGAAAATAGCTCCTAAACTACTGTTAGCCTTGCTTGGGACAGTGGGAGTCAGACATTTTTCAGGTACCAGCATGAGTTTAACATATCCATGTCCTGATTCAGTATGTTCTCGTTCTCCTCCTCCTCCTCCTCCTCCTCCTCCTCCTCCTCCTCCTCCTCCTCTTCCTCCTCCTCTTCCTCTTCCTCTTCCTCTTCCTCTTCCTCTTCCTCTTCCTCTTCCTCTTCCTCTTCCTCTTCCTCTTCTTCTTCTTCTTCTTCTTCTTCTTCTTCTGAAAAATAGATTTTACAGCTCTCACTAGTGTGCATTCTTTGTCTGTGAGCAGTGGGTACTGGCAAGAACAGAAACCTTTCTTCCTAAGGGGCAAGGCAGTATAGAAAATGTACAATCTGTCTGTAGGTCATAGATCTGTGCTGAACTGATCTGAATAATGATAACCATAAAAGGAGCAAGAAAATCAGGTTTTGATTGGAACTTTTTAAAGCTGCCTTTCAGGTTTCTCTTACGCATCTTGCTCCAAGAATGCCAGCAATGAGGAATGGTTAAAAACAAGAGAACAGAAATGAGGAAGTTCTAGAAGTATTATCTACTACTCTTTTTTGACACTCTTAAATTTAATTTTTCCACTAGTTGCCTGTGCAAAACCTCACCTCCTTACTTTCTGAAGGGGAAAGTCACAGGTTGACCACAAGACCGAACTAAGCCATGGTAAAGGAAGAGTATTTGAAATCAAGTAATATATAAGAAGCTGTAGGATGAATAAAGCGATTAAGCATTATCAGACTAGCCTTAAACTATCATTAGATGACATTTTCTACTATTAATAAAGACTCAGCATCACTTATCCAAAATGCTTGAGAGCAAGAAGTATTTTGGGTGTATTTGGATCAAATAGCTGCATTTGCATGTACACATACCTACATAATGAGATATCTGGGAGATGGGGCCTAAGTCCAACCACACAATTGATTTCTGTTTCATATACACCATATAATCATAGTCTGTAGATAATGGTACACAATATTTAATATTTTGTGTATGGAACAGGATATTGTGTTGACATCTGGACTGGCACGGTATGGATAAGCTTCTGTTTTCAATACACTATGCCTCCATTCTTGAACCCAAAACTAGGCAGGCTTCCCTTTCAGTTCCCTTCTACTGCCCCTTTACTTTCTGGGAGAATAGAAACTGACACAGCAAGGAGCACATCAACTATTATTGAAAATAGTGGTTAAAAAATTGAAATGTTTAAAGGTGCAGTAAGGAGAGGAGGATGGTCAGTGGGCTTGCTGAGTCTTGTCAGCGGGTTACTGCATTATTCACCTTTAAACATTTCATCAGAAGATTGTGTCCTTCTGTCTAGTTGTATTACTGTGATGAAAGCAAGCTGGTGTATTTTAATCTGCCATGAACCACTACAGAACAAAATCCTAATCAATAATATGAAATCAATGTAAGTTCTTGGGGTGTTGGCAAGACTTCAGCAACAGTGCAGCTTTTCCTTAAACCTGAATATCTGTTACCACAAAAGTTTCAAAGTGGGGGTTTAGGTATTAAATCAGAGCTGTAGCATCTTGCCTCCATTATCATTTCTTCTTTATTTTTGAAGGTGACTTTGAGTGTTGTCCTCTTGCGCTGCGTTCTTGTTTCTAAATTATACATGTGGAATCCCATTATCCCACATTGCTCTTACGCTTTGTGTAGTTTCAACACATAAAAATAGATTCCCAGTCAAAATAAACAACTTTCAGAAGACTAAATACAGTGAAAACACTGTCGAAAAGTGTCGCAGCAATAACAACCTATCCTGTACCAGAAGCCCAACCTCCTGGAAAAGCAGACCATGATCCAGGAAGTCAAAACTATGTCTTGCAGCATCATTGGTCCAACAGGAGAGGAGGATGGTCAGTGGGCTTGCTGAGTCTTGTCAGCCGGTTAGTTACATGGCAGATTTTTGCCCCAGGGAGATAACATATTTCTTGAGGCATCCTGTCACGTTTGCAAATTGCTGCTTCTGTTCCTCTCAGGAGGGAGTCCCATACTATCAGCACACATCTCTTCTGGGGACTGACAGGGTCCCTCTCCTGTGTTGAATCTGGTAAGATTTCTTGAGAACTTACCTTGTTGCCCTTGATCCTGTTCCTCATTTTTGACTGAATTCTGTAGCTCTAAACTGGCCTCTTCCTTGAAGACTGCTTTAAAGGCTCTCATTCTGCATATCTTTGCTTATCATGTGTTAATAAGGTGTTCTGCTTTATTGGGAAATAATATGTTGAGTCACTAAGGTAGCAGAATTACACTGAGTTATGATGATTTGCAAGCCCTGTCCAGGCACTTGCGAATGTGTGTTCTCAACCCTTCAATTTACCATGGCTGAGACCACTAGCTGTCATCTCCGGGAACTGATATGCTTCTTTGTGTTACCAGGCCAGGAGAGTGGCAATCTCAGGGTGAGGGATACTGGAAACTCAGCATTAAGGTCCTCACATGAGTGTATTGCACTTTCTTTCCATCTTTCTATTTATGCAAGGCTTTTTGACTTCTGGTAGTAAATTTATTTTTCCTTGGCTGTTCTGTGATTTTATCTTTTTTACTATATTTGAGTTTAAGTTTAAGTTTATTCAGTGCTTAAACCTTAGGCCTTTCATATATAGGACAAACAATCTATATATAGATTTGAAATGCTTCAAAATGTTTTAATCAGATTGTTTAATGATTTTTAACTTGGGTGCTTCACATTGTCATTCAATTTTGTCATATTATACAGTACGACTCCCACATCTGCAGGGGATATATTCCTGGACTCAGTGTGGATACGCAAAACCACTGATAATAGAATCCTATTGAAATGAAGGACTTTGAGGCAAGAATTCGATAGTCGCAATGAAAGATGTAGAACGTGCCTGGAGGTGATGTATTTTGTCAGACATAGATAATTGAAACCGCAGATACTTATCCCACTGATATGGGGGTTGTACTGTATAGAACAGTCACTTTGGGTCCAATATTGGGAGAAAGATTGATATTAGAGTAAGAAAGATACACTATTTGCCACTAATCTTAAACTAACAGAGAGATAAAACTTTACAAACATATAATTGGACGAGACCCCAAGGATGATACCATCTAACCTTAAGCCATGCAGGAATACACAATCTGAAATCTTCAGTCCTCCTTAACTTCAGCAGACATTTCTTTGTTCCTTAAGTTAAAAGGTTCATATTGGGAAATGAATCTTTCTAACATTACCACACCTGTTACATGTGATAATGTGTGGCACCTACTTATTGTATCAGCTTTTGGTTTGAAGGCCTTCGCAGTAGGGTGCATCTTGCACTAGACAGAGGTAAGGGTTCCATTTATAGACAGAATATTTACAGCAAATGCTATGCTGAAGTGACCACCCTAGTGCTCTGCTTTGGGCCCAATCTGCAGATTTTATTATTCACAGATTGGATTAATATATGTTTTTTAAGTCCTCCAGCATGACTCTATAGCCAATTTCCACTAGAAGTTGACCACAGACCCATGCTGGGGGACCTGCCAGATGTTGACCATAGAGCTGCTCTGAAGAACCTAGAGGTTCTAAAATGTGGTCTCTCTGATTATTATTTTTTTTAAAAAAGCAATTTTTTAAAAAAGCAATTTTTCCATTTTTCTGGGGGTTTTCTTCCTTAACCAAAGTGAAAGTAGAGGACATATTATACTTTGAAAACAATAACGTCTAGTAACAGTGTTAATTTTTAACTTTAATTTTGTTTATTGCATAGCTAATAATGTCTACTCATGACTTCTAAAACTTTGCTTTTGGAGGAGATGCTATGATCATTTTTTGTATCTTAAGTACATTCATAACACACACACACACACACAAGATAATTAAAAACTCTTATAAGTAACAAGTAACACAGTTTGTTAATAATAAGTAATGTTAATGGGTAAAGTCAGTGAGATAGTACTGGTTAGAGTGAAGTCTAGGAGACTAGACTTGTTGGCTACTCAGTGATGGAAATCCACTGGTGATCTTCGCTCAGAGGAGGAGGAAAACAATGCCAAATCTTTTCTGAACAAATTTTGCCAAGAAAAAATTAGCGGTCACCATAGAATGGAAATGACTTGAAGGCACTTAGAATGACTTGAAGGCACAAAATAGCAACAGTGTTAACCAGGTGTTTGTTAGAAGTAACAAGGAAGAAACAGGTTTTAAAAATAACATTACAAGGTGTTGATGATACCTTATCTTGCCCAAAATGTCTCAGGAGAAGTAGGCTTCCACAAATGCTAGAATCGGTGATAACAAACAAGATGGCTTGAACCTGGCCTCTTTGGTGTCCCTTCTCTTGTCCTCCGCAACCAACCATTGATAGAGCCCTGAAGAAGCTAACAGCTAGTTTTCAAACAGCAGTCTTACAAAATTGCTGTCTTGGGGCACATTCATACTTTCACCTGAAGGACAAGCTGTACAGTAATCTTGTAGACTTTCAAAAGAAGCATCCAAACAAAGTGACATTTCATTGGCCTAGCGTATAGTCTATTTTTGTGTATCTCTGGGATGCCAGAAATTAACTTTAAATCAAAATGAAAGATCTATCTTTGTTTCCTTCAAAAAAAAAATCATTCTCTGTAAGTATGGCAATATATTTGCACAATAAAGAATGTGGATAACTTTGATCTTCAGGCTTAACTCTGACAGGTTGTTGTTATTAACTTTTTGCATCTTTATTATCTGTTTTCTCTTGTTAGCTTTCCTGAAGCTTTGAGTCAGCAATGGATCTGAAGAAAATGAAGGACTACATTTATTGGCTGTATTTTCAGTATCTCCTGGTCACCTGCAGCTACGTCCTAGAGCCCTGGGAACAATCCATGTTCCACACCATTACAATTACTGTGGTGGCCATGGTGGTGTACACTGCTTATGTCTTCATCCCCATCCATATCCGCCTGGCTTTTGAGTTCTTCTCTCAGATATTTGGAAGCCCACCTGAATGTACTGCATCACTTACAAGTTGAGCCAGCCATTTTGCACCCAGTGCAAAGTACAGTCTTCCACCTCACTGTCTTCCTAAACTATGCCAATGTCTGTTTTGGATTCTATTTTGAACCTTTTGTTCCTGAGCACATGTGTGCCACCTCCTTTTACAAAGCTGGGCTATCATTGCACTGACTACTGCCTCCTGGCTAATTCTCACTGAAATGCATGAAACCTCTTTTCTTGAAGTGACATGGTCCCACTGGGATATGTTGCTTTGCTAAATCTCTCCCTATGAATTGCAATTGTATACAGCAGATCTCCCACAAGAAGGAATGGTTTGTTTTATGCCTTTGTGAATCCTTATCCTTTCCTTATCCTTCTGGAGATACTAAGACTGATTTAAGCTTGCATGCCTTACACAGTACTGTTTTGCACACCAAATGATCTTGAGGATTCTTTCTAAACAATTTATAGCAATGCACAAACCTGTTGACCTATTTCTGAAAGGGAAAACAGGAAAACTGTTTTGGTTTCTACAGTATAAGCCTTTCCTTTTAAAAAATGTATTTTTAAAAATAAATGTATTGTAAGTTTTCCCTTCTTGGGATCTCTTTCTCACAGATATCCTGTTGCTAACATTCAGAACACTTCATGAGGACTTTGTTGGAAACTTTACTTTTGTATTAAGATACCTGAAATCCCCCAGCCAGAAAGTTGTTAATGTTGGGGGCATGGTCCTTCACTTCTGTTCCTTGTTCCTAGTGTATGACAAAGAATCAAAGTATTCACAAACAACAATTGTGAATCCAGTTGGAAAATGCTAACTTTGGTCCTCCTCTCATTTGCTCTGGGCTTCCTCTAATTTCAAGTATGAGGAAAACAAGTAAAATAAGTGTGGCTGTTTGTTAAATGCTGCCATGTAGACATGTATGCAGAACTCTGCCTAGAGCTTTTTCTCCTTCCCCTTCCAGCTATACACCTTGCATCCAACAAGGGAACAGGTGATATTTTGAAATGGGCAAGTGAATATTGCACAAGAGCTCCCGGTGTTAGGAGAAAGTGGCAGAAATGGGAGCCTTTGGTAAATTGAAGCTTAACTCTCACATAAGAGGCCTTCTATATTCCATGGTGTTAGCAAGATTTGAATTCCAGCTTCTATGTTATTTTATATATAGTTGTACGGCAACAGGAACATATATGAGTTCAAGGAGAGGAGTAATTGCAATATTAATGAGTTCTTCAAAAAATATATTTGCAAGGCAACTATATCTATGGGTTTGTTTGTTTTACTTTTTGCCAGGTTGTTTGTCTGTTTTTTTTACTTTTTTGCCAGGTGGTATTAAGTTTCTTTAAGTAACCAACATTGAGCTGCTTTCTGCTCTGTTAATATTTCTGTTCTGTTAATATTTCATATGAAGCAAATAAACCATATATATTATAATAAAAGTTACCCTATATCCTAATACTTGCAGTCTGTGAAAGCATTTATAGAGGAGATTCTGAAATAAGATTTCTTTTTGTGAAACTGAAGTGAGCCATCCTCATTTGATTTGGGTTTTGTTTTCATTTTGGAAAGTGCCAATGCTACACCTTATCTAAATGAAATGTGAATGCCAAAGAGCAAACCTGCATATCTACGCAATCTGCTACCAGTGAAAAGTGGATTAAAGTGTCAAATGTAAATAGGTCACAAATGGTATCTTCACAGCAACATGGAATATATGACACATTTTGTCTCTTAGCATATTAACTGTGTATGTTAACTCCACAAATAACAGTTTATGCTGTTTCTGTCAAAGACATGTCTTGAAGATTTCAGCGATCTGAGCATGTATTGTATTTCCCAGGAACAATAAAGTTGAATTTATTATAAAATCTGTCTGCATATTATAATCTGCTAAGACTGAGATACTAGAGGAAGAAAGGAGTAAGGGCTCTTCCATGCAGGCCTACCATGATGTTCCCATTAGATTGTCACCACACTAAAAACCTAATCAACCAGATAGTTGGCATTGTTTGGTTCCCTTGTCTGCTGCTGTCATTATTTTTATATGTATGTATGTATTGTTCTAGGCCCCCTGGTGGCACAGCAGTTTAAATCAATGAGCAGCTGAACTTGCTGACAGAAAGGTTGGCGGTTCGAATCAGGGGAGTGGGGTGAGCTCCCACTGTTAGGCCCATCTTCAGCCAACCTAGCCGTTCAAAAATATGCAAATGTGAGTAAATCAATGGGTACCGCTTTGACAAGAAAGTAATGGCACTCCATGCAGTCATGCTGTCCCCTTGACATTAGAGTTGTCTACGGACAATGCCAGTTCTTCAGCTTAGAAATGGAGATGAGCACCACCCCCCAGAATTGGACAAGACTAGACTTAATGTCAAGGGGAAACATTTACCTTTTATATAGTGTTCTGGAGCCCATTGTTGCTCATGAATTAAATTTTTCATAATTTTGAAGGACCAGTGCTGCTCATTCATATAAAACTTCTGTTAAATGAGGTGGATTTCACTGTTCATATAGCTGAATGAATTATTTTGGATTTAACAGTTTTAACATTGTAAAGTGAATTAGATTGCTTTGCCATTTGATATAAGTATTTTCTTTTATTGATAATCCATTTATTTTAATGTTATGCTGAGCTGTGTCATTCTGTTAGCCAACTTGGACTTTTCTGTGGAAGAAAATGTGAATTATATATGGAAGCAAATGGGAAAGTGGAGTGAAATGCCAGGCCTTTTCTACACTGCCATATAAAATCCAGGCCAAAGCAGATATCCTGGATTGTATACGACAGTGTAGAAGGGGCCATAGTGGGGCTGCCTCTCATGCTTGAAATTTCCCAAGGCCTCAACATGTGGTTCTATTCAGCTTCCACAGTGATCTGGTGAAGAAAGAGATATTGACTATTTATGCCAAAAGTTATTTTTTCCATATTACTATGGACACTTCTATGAGAACCACTCTCCAATTTGTGGTTTGTGTACAAAGCAGCAAGTTGGCCAGCGAAAACCATATGATGGGGTTCTTAAAGTGGATGTTCATCCCAGTGGATGGTTTCTTTCAAATGCACATGGTTGTTTTGCTTGGGTAGAATTTTCCTTATTTTCACAGCAGGAGCAAAACACCTTATTGCTTTCCTAAATAGAAATGCCTCCTGTGATCCCACTAATTAAGCACTCAAGATGGAATTTAAATGGGACATGTTAAATGGAAGATGGATTTAACTCTGCTTCTAATGTTGACCTGGAGTTCAATGGGCTCTGCTCCCAAATGTGCATGCATGGGATTACCACCCTAATAGGAAAACCCTTTAAATGCATTTCGAAAATAGAAGAGTAAATGCAGCTCTGCAAGTGCACTCCAATCTATACATATTTGTAAAGATAAGGTAAGGGTTCTCACTGAAAGATAAGGACAACAACCTGTAATTAAATATTTGTCAAATGCAAGTGTTACAAGTTTTTGTTTGATCTACTGATGGTCAGCCCTGATCAAACTGAGCATTCAGGTTTAGCCTGTAGCCTGACCTGTATGGCCACATTCCCCATCTTTGGGTCTTTGCCCCTTCCTACATTGGTCTTGTCATGCCAGGTCTTTCTTAGCGAGGCTTAAGGAGCAATCCACTACACTACTGAGACAAATGGCAAAATTAAAATGAAAACATAGGAAATGAAGCGTGAATACCCATCAGTTCCTACTTTAATGCCTAAGGTAATGATCTGGGAAGACAATTAACTGGAGTAGACACTACTGGTATAAGCAGATTATTCAGAATTCATCTCTCTTTACCACTTGAGTCTTTAAAATCATTTGGCTGCACCTATAGCATGTTGTAAAAATGAAATAAATTCCAGGACCATGGTTTATGGTAGTCATAGCCCAAGGCACACATGAGTTTTAAATCAACATGTCATAGAAACCACTTATTTAGATATTTTGGTGTTTTATTCACCAAGTATCTGTCATCATAATGACACAAGAGCATTGGTGCTTTGTTACTATAAAGATAGACAGTTGATTCTACCCACCCTAACCATTTTAAAAGCAAAGTGGCTGCTCTAATGTACACAGTACTGAAATCTGGAGTTTGATATTAGTACAGTAATTTCTGACTATGATGACCCCATGGTAAATGTTAGACTTGTTTGTGGGGTTTCGTTTTTGTTTTTGCAAGATCTGTTCTGAGGGGGTTTTGTCTTTGGCTTTCTGTGAGACTGGCAGTGTGTGGCTTGCCCAAGATCTTCCTGTAGGTTTCCAAGGCTGAGCAGGGATTTAAATCTTGGTCTCCAGAGTTGTAGTCCTATGCTCAAACAACGATGAATGCTATGTCACCTAACTGAAAAGCTTTCAGGTTAGATCCTTGGCATCTTCATTTAAATGCCACTGGAAGCAGGCGAAACAGTATCTATGAGTCATAGTAAACAATGCTAATCTGACTTTATCTAAACAACTTTTCGTATTTCTGAGATACAAACAATATTCTTCATTGTATTGTCAAAGACTTTTCGTCAGGAGATAATGCTTCTGGAACATGTGCATATAGCCTGGAAAACTCACAACAACCCAATATTCTTCATCTTAGCATGGTTTGGAGAAAAGATTTGTTCATCTTTCAAGTACGACAAGAAAGCAATGTCAACATGCTGAGTTTACAGAGAGATTTGTATGGAGGCAAAAGCTTGAATACAGCATAGTTATTGAGGGGCTTATAATGGATGCAGAGCATCAAATAAAATTGTTCTGATTTCTAAAGAGACATGGCTCAAATATTTCTATCTATATATCTTATCTACTATATAATAAAAGTAAATGTTTGTATGTGTGTATGTATCTGTGTATGTGGCAGCTTTCTGATTGGCTGCCACTTCCACTGGCCACTGCGACCCCCACGAATGATGGACCTGGAGCAAATTTTGTACACAGAGTTTCCATGACCCACTCTACATCCTGGTGTGGTTTGGAGGATGGACAAAAATTAAATGCTTTCCCCAGTAAGGTAAAGGTAAAGGTTGTCCCCTGACATTAAGTCCTGTCATGTCTGACTCTGGGGTGTGGCTCTTTCGAAGCCGAAGAGCCAGCGTTGTCCATAGACACCTCCAAGGTCATGTGGCCAGCATGACCACATGGAGCGCCGTTACCTTCCAGCTGGAGCGGTACCTATTGATCTACTCACATTTGCATATTTTCGAACTGCTAGGTTGGCAGAAGCTAGGCCTGAAAGCGGAAGCTCACGCTGGAATCGAATTTGCGACCTTTTGGTCAACAAGCTCAGCAGCTCAGTGCTTTAACCCACTGCGCCACCGGGGGGGGGGGGGGGCGCAGTGTACTGCTTTCCCCAGTACACATCACAAAAACAACACACCCATCCCTCCACACTCTGACCACCACCACACAGCCCCCAATGCCAAGCCATAGAGTTCAATATAGTAACAGCTTTAGGATAAAAGGGTCTCTCAGTCTCTTTGTCCTGTGATAGGCTTTGCCATACCTCATTCCAGCATGAAGTGAAAGCCTAATGTTTATTTTATATTGTACAATATTTACTAGATATATGGCAGATTAAACACGTTGTAGAAATAATGTGAAGGATTTTAAATGCAGACTGTCTGTAGCAGTCAGGCTAAAATGTGTGGCCAGTTATGGCATTCTCACCTGGAGGGCTACAGGTTGAAGAGGATAAATGAGGGTTGCCAGACAGAACAATGGAGACAAGTCTTATATTTTAATGACTATACAAGAGAGAATTTCTAATTATTGCTTGTTGTCTGACAACTAAATTAATGGAATCCTCTCTTCCACCCAAGTATTAACAATACAAGAACAATCTCCAGTTTTCCATCAGCAACCCTATTTGTCATGTAGCTAGTGTAAGGACACCAGATGTGGTATAGCAACAATGTCCACAATCATGAATGCATTTCCTGCTCCCTACACTCTACATTATTCAAGGAAAGGAATTGCTTGTACATGTGGAGAGGGGAGCGGTTTACTGCCGGTCAGTCCCAGTGAGTCATTAGATAGCCTTTAGAACTGTTAAACCAAGGCATTCCCTGCTGATATCTTATTGAGTAACAATAGGTGGCTACAGAAAGTAAAGCTTATCAGGGAAGTGAAGGACTGTATGCAGGGATTAAATCTCGTCCAAGCAAAGAAATTGGTGGAGTCTCTTTCTCAAGAGATCAAGGTGAATATCCCTAAAGAGGAGGCAAAAATGATCAAAGCAGCTCTCAAGGCAGCAGGAGGAACTGTGGTTCTGGAGTAACAACATTGCCAAAGGACAGAGTGGGGGAATTGTCCTTTAACCAATGTAGCCCACCTCCAGTTCTTACTGTCTGCTGACTGGTGGTGTATGGGGGCTGTGCGCCCTTGCCTTTTTCTCTGTGGTGGGGTTTTCCACTGGGATGGTCCAGTGCCTGATGAATGTCTCCAGCAGCATGGTGTCTGCTATATGTACCAACACTGCAAAGAACTGCATTTATAAAGAGTATACACGAAGGAGAAAATCTGTGGAACAAAAAAAAAGTCACTTTTTCAGTTAGTTAGACTCTAAGCTCTCTCCTTAAACCACTGGGATAACATTGCTGTTCCTAATGAGCATTTGGAAGGAATAGTAGGAATTAATGTATGACAATGTTTTAATATTTATATAGGTTTGTAACACAGTTGGTGCTCCTCCACTGAGGTAAGTCTGTTTGAACGAGCAATGGCTTATTGAAGATGGAAGAAAGCAGATGTAACTTATGAGAAGCTACATGTGGGTCTTATTTACAAATGGCTTTGGTAGGGTTAATAATTTTAATGGCTTTCTAATGACTCCAAAAGTGTTTTTATAGCAAACAATGTCAGAAAGAAATTGTAAGTACA